AGGATGAATATTTTATAGAACTTTTGATGTTTTTGTTGAGAAAAATTTGAATTTGATGGCGTTGGAACTGTGGATGATTATTCCAGAATTCAAGAGATTGACACTATCTAATTTGGAATTTTGATTTCCAACCTCAAAAAAATCTACTTTTGGCGTTCAACTCTACCACGTGATATGCTCTTCCATGGGTTGATTCAAGTATTGTGACTAAGAAACAACCTACAACCCCTTCAGAGTATCATGTTCTTGCACAAACCCATCACAAAACAGAACAAAATTATTCAAAAATTTTAACCACACGTACATTAAGGTCATCATTATCAGCATCATGAAGGTCTACATACACATTATATTTCTTCATAATAAAAAAGTTTATTTTCTCTTGTGATTCACTGCCTTACAATCTGTTACTTCTTGTTAGTTTCTTCTCCATATTCACTATAAAATATGTTCATATTTGGACAGCACACGAATGCCCACTGCAAAGTTGAATAAGAAAGGAAAATTTCCCCAAAGGATACATTATATACATCACATACATGCAATAAATTGGACATGGGGGTAGTGAAAATTACATTTCACATTAGTGGCGAAGGTCAACAGAGGAAGAGAACTTTTTTTTATTACTATAAAGCCTGACTAGAAACATATTGAAATAGATATCAATAGGAAGATAAGGGTGTGGATGGTTAAGTACATTCAAAAATAGATTCAGGCTACAAAGAAACACGCAAAATTGTCAACACATAGATCGATATGTGTGATTTGAGGTTAGAAAAAGATGCTTGTGGATGATTTGGAGATTTCTAAGAATAAGCAAGTATTGATGACTTTCATAATTTTCATGCTTAAGGGATTAGTGCCTGTTTGTTATTTTTATGGATTGATAGTATCATTAGATTTATGAGTTGACATTAAAAAATCAATTTTGTTATTACTTAAGAATTTTTCTTGGTATTTAATTCAATAACTCTTTTGTCATTGATTGTAATCAACATTTATGGTTACAGAAATGATTTGACAGGCTAGCAACCACCTTCAACATACTCAAAAATTAATCTTCTACAATGTTGTATCCTTTACTTCTCAGTTAACATCTCAATTCCCACGAATAATGTCAAACTTATTGATATTGACACACAACTTGACCTTAGCCTTCTAAAATATTAAAGGGATCAAATGATGTCATCTGTAGGCGTGTAGGAAGCAAAAATTGAAAACCTTCAATTATTTTCTTAAAATATCACAGGACTTACAGAGAAAAGCTGTTAACTACTTGTAAGAATCTTCCCAAAAATGTTCTATGATGACAAAAACAAATTAAGACATAAACATCATGTAATGTTTAGGCGTTGGAATCGTTGAAATGGGAGTTGGAGCTTAAAAGACTGTGTATTTATAGAAATTTTGTAAAATTTATAGAACTGTGTAGGTTTCATTAAGAATTGTCAGCATTAGAGTTGTTAATTGATGTGAGATTAGTGCCTTCAAAGGTGTAATTCAATTAGATTCCAAGGCTAAATAAAATTATTGGTGGTTGTATGTGTATGACGTCAATTTAAAATTAAAACTCCTTTTTAAACGTTTTATAAAATCTAAAAAATCTATCTGCCTTAATATTCGACATCATAAGTGATCTTTGAACCACAAAATGATTTAGAGTCAATAATTCATCATACAATTGCCAGTAAAGCACCTAAACATGCAACCAAATTTATCCCATTCTCATTTGTGTCCTTATTCCCATCCATACTTATTTTGTAAACGTTCTTTTTATTGAGGAACAATAAAGAAATAAGTCCACTGAGAATATCTTTTATGTGACTTTAAAGGCACCAAGAAGGAAAGAATAATTTAAAGGACAAATGGAGATGAAAAATTATTGGAAGTGACAGAATCTTTTTTATGACATTCATCATAAGCCTTTCTGGCCTTTTTTTCTTCTCATCCTATACATTTCATCATCACGATGATCGTCATTGTTGTGCATACACATATGTGTGTTGGAAATCAGAAATATTTCAAACATAATAGATAGTTAATAATATTGGGAATGATGAGATAACAAAGGAGGGAAAAAAGATACATATTAGGAAGCAATAAGAATTGCCGTATGTCATTTTGCTATATAACTTGAGGGAATATCATCTCATGTACAATAGGACGAAAAAGCAGCAGCAAGAAAAAATTGAATGACTAACAAAAGGTTCTTTTAGAATTTTTTTTCCTCGTCTCTTTTGCTGAACTTTAAACAAGATTGATTCATTTCTAAGATAAGCTTCTGCCTTAACTTCAACCCACCCAAACTTATTTTATTCATAACTCACACAATGATTTTAAAGAGTTTGATAATTTTTCATGATTTAAAGCCATTGATATTATGAACGGTAGAAGAAATTCAATAAAATTTATGAGTTTGATCATCAGACCCAGAATTTTTAATAAGAGCTGTAAAGTGGTCATTTTTCGGACGGTGGAAAAAAATTGGTCTTCTTATAATAAACGTCAAAGATGAAGGTGAACTTTTAGATGATTATTTGAACGAATAATTCAATTTTTTCATCTAATATCCTTTTGGTTGGGCCTTTACAGAAACGAATTTAGAGAATTTTTAAGCCTTGTAATTTGAGTCAGAGCCAATCAGAAAAAACATTTCTGACAAAGATTAGGAATTCATCCCGAATTGATACTTCTGAATTTTGTTGACATCTTTGCTAGCGATTTTAAATTTTAACTCCCACCATCACTCCTCTTTGTAGCTTTCCTAGATGCACCTCTATTCTTTTCCATGACTAAACTTCCATAATCCCTTCTATCCCGCATTTCACATCATTAACCGCTCAAATAAGTCTATTCTTTAAAATTCATCAACTGTTCCTAATTGTTCATTTAACCATAAATATTTGTAATCATGCACGACAAGTTCATTGATCCCATTTCCACTTGCCTATTCCTCATTATGTTGTCTTCATTCAGAAAAAAATTATAAATTAAAATTAATCACTTTATACCGTCTGAAGTCTTGCAAATCTCATTAGATGTGGAGAGCAAAAAATGCTGTATGATTACAAGTATTTAATTCAGAATATAACTTCCTTCTTGAAGTATGTGGGGCACTTGGTTAAGAATGTAAACGGGTTATTTATGTTAACTTAAAATTTGTTATGAAAATTCTGGAAAATTCATCAAATTGTTGTGTCTTCAAAAGCCCAAAAAAACACATTTTTGCTTCCCTTAACACTCACTTGTTATGACACTTTCATTGCCCTTCTTATCCACATATACACATAATTTGAATTTTTTCGGTGTGTAATTTTACGTCGGGTTAGAAAGGAATTTTTTTATGCATATTTATTCATGTATCACAAAGAAATTCAACAGGCATGTTACCGCATGACTGACGACGTACTCGAAATTTTTGACAACTTCCGTTCTTTTTCACTTCACTGCTATAAAATGAAATATCCATGTCGGGGAAAAAAAGGAGGAAGGATCAAGACATTCTTCACTTTGTGGATGAATGAAGCAAATTTTGATGATATTAGAGATGGGATATGTGAATAATTTACGACTAAAGATTCTCGGTGAGTTTTTAAATTTGATGGAAGTTTTTCTTCGGGCATGATAAATATTTTTTCCGTGGATTAATTTATTTTATCGTGCCACAAAAATTTTAATCTTGAGATTTAATTAAATTTAATAAAAAATTCTTCATTATTGAGTAACGGAAATATTTTTTTCTTGTGGCTTTTATGGTGCAAAGAAATGGTCGTTGAAGAAGAAGTTTGGATTTTTGTATTTGGGTGGGCGCGAATTCTTTGGATTTTACGATCTATTTTGGTTTTATGGGAAAGGATTTGTTATTTGGTCAGATTTTTGGGCAGGAATTCTCCACTTAACATTAATTAAAAATTGCATCAAATTTTATTAATTGAAGTTTGTTTTTTTTTTTAATTTTTGATTTGATGGGACTTGAACTTGTGCTCTGCTAAAACTAATTGCAAACTTTTGTCATTTAACTTTTTGTTTTGTCGACTAAAGCAAAATACACATTTGACTGCTCTGGCAAAAATCTTAAATTATTAAAAGTAGAAGATGCAGCAAATCTGGACCTTCCTACAATTTTACTCAAAACCGTTCAAAAAAAAAATCTTAAATTTTCCAGAAATTAAGCTCATCAAAAATTAAATATTCTGTTCTCAGTAATTCCCTCCAAAAACAAATCAGCACATTTGGGGCAAGAATTTTTGATCAACCACAAAATTACTCAAGCCCTTCCAAATTCGACCGGAAAACCAAGAATTTTACGAGGACTGAATGAAATACATCCAAAAATTAAACAATTCTCTTTAAAACAAACAAACACGAGAAAAAAAGTATGTGATGAAAATTTTCGATTAAAAAAAGTGTCCCTAAAATTATTTTTCTAGCACAGTAGTAAAGTGTATCACTACACTTCTAGGAATATCCTTTTGTTAATTGAGAGAATGTATATTTTAAAAGAATGAATGAACTCGATACAAGAAAAGTGGATGACTAAGTTGAGAGATTTGTTTATTTACAGCAATAAAGTTTGATAATTTAATTGAAAATGTTAAAGAATTGGAATCAAATAACTGAATTTTGAAAAACAAAATTGAATTTTAAAATGAACATTTCAAAATTCTAAACTTTTTTAAAAATATTTTTCTACAAAACTTCGAAACAAAATTGATTGAAAAAAATGTAAGAAAATTAATAATTTATACTAAAAAGTTTTCTTTATAAAAAGTAATTAAAGATTTGAAAAAAAAATTCAAAACTATTTTTTTAAAGAAATTAGAAAAATAATTTTGAACTTCTTTTACCAAAATTTTTTTGTAAATTTCAATTCTTTTTCACAGGCACAGCACATAATTATTTAACAAAATTCAGTCATTAATTCTTAAGAATATTCCCATCACAACGTTCTCAAAGGACATTAAAAAGGGTCTTGAAATAGAATATTTATGCAACATTACCCCGTTCACTTGATTGTATTTTTTTCTGCGGTTAAAGCTTCCTCTTAAAGTTGTTAAATTATCGATAATAAAATAAATTTCTTTTCTATGTAATTTTTGTGGCTATCAAACCATTCACTACAAATTCTTTGGTAGAATAATTTTTTCACTTTTTTTCTATTTCACAATTGTTTTCTATTTTTTTTATATTCTTTTAGATTGTAACTTCGTGTGTAGAGTAATTTCATCTATATAAACTTAATAATGTTGTGTATGGATAGTATAAACCATAGGTCTCTCGACGAACGAATGAACAGAACACAATAAATATGTAAAAAATTTCTTTTCTTCTTTTTTTCGCTTTCTTATCCAGAAGATGTAACGGCACTTTATGTTATTTTAACAACAATATCAAGAACACAAGCACAAGATGAGTTGAACAACAACAAAAATTTTCACAAATGTAATTTTTTATCGATGCACGAGGACGAATATTTTGGATAATATGGGAATTGTGTCATTTATTATTCAAGCACAATTTGTTACGAAAAATTCTTTTCCGATCAATTTTTTTTGTTCAATTTTTTTTTTATTTTTTGCTAGTTCCAATGTTGTTCTTCATAAAATTAAATTATGATGTGCATTAATTTTTTATATTGTTTCTTTTTTGAGAACTTTTGTGTCTCCTCTTCTTGTTCCAACTACGAACTATATGAATGAAGAGGAATGGATATAATTTGAACAGTTTAATGGTTTTTTATTAGACTTCTTCTTAATTCCACAATTTCTTCTAATTTTCCACATCAAAATTATTCTGCTTTTTAGCTTTTACTTTGTTCTTTTTGTAGTTTCAAAAAAATTAAATTAAAAAAACTCAAAAAAAGATCCGCAAATATAAAATTTTTTTCGATAATTTTCCTATTAATTTTTTTTTCAACTTTTTCTTTACTTAAAAAATTTCTTTAAATGTTTTTTTATTTCCGTTAATAAAAACGATCTAGCCTCCACAACGATTCACAGGTGACTGAAAGCGTATACGATGGAGTGAGATGATGATGTTGATGCAACTGTTAAAAGCATGACACAGAAAAAAAATATTTTTTTTTGTATATGTGGAATGGAAATAAAGGCACAGAAAAGAAGAATGAATAGAAGAAAAATTCAAAACAAGTGCCGCTGAACTCTCTTTGGCTCTCTCTTTCTCACTTACACTTGCATTTTATATTCTCTCAATTTTCTTTCTCTCACTCAATTTCTTGTATGCTGTGCACGGCATTTAGCATGAGAGATACAATTTCTCTCTGTTTTGATGCACTATGGGGCAAAATGAAAAAAAAAGGGACTTTCACTTTGAAAAATGGACTTTTCCGATTTACACTTTTTGGGTGATTTTTTCTTGTAGAGGACATAAAAGTAGATAGAAATGCCAAATTTCAGGTCATTTGGTGCTGATTTCGCGATTCTAGAGCTGTTTGAAGTTGAAAACTAGTGAAAATTCTGGTTTTTTCATACCATGTTTGAACCGGGAAATATCTTAACTGGTTTAAGATATTGCAAAACGGTTTTCAGTTCCTATTAGTAGTATATAAGAGCTTTATTTTGACATATAACAAAGTTTAGGTTCTGAATGTTTTCGTGCCATTATGGTAGAACATATGTGAAAATTTCAGGAAAATTATCTTCAAACAAGCCGCAACTATCATAAATGAAGAGTTTCCAGGCAAGTAAAAACGCAGTTTTGTAGCCCCATATATCTAGTTTTCAAAACTGTATAAACTTTGAAAAAGTAAGCTAACGTAATTGAGTTATGTTGATTTTAGTAGGTCGTTGAGTATTTGGCCAAAAACTAATAATTCTTTTAAAAATACGAAAACATAGTTTTAAAAATAGTTTTTTGGTGTTTTCTTATGAAAAATAACAATTTAAATGATTTTGTGAAGAAAATTTTTCAAAAACTTCAAAATCTTTCGAGATATAGGGGGTATGTGCTCTCCATCGATTTGGCCATTTGTCACCCTACTTAAACCACTATAACTTTTTTTTGAAAAAATATTTTTTAATTCTGTTTTCGGATTATTGTAGCCTAATGTAATACCTATCCAACGATATATAATACTTGCTAGTTAACTTAGTCCTGGTTATTTATAGGGCTGTTGATTGTGACATACGCAGTTTTTGAAAAATTCCCAAAAATTGCATTTTCAAAAATACCACTTTTAAGCAATCTCGAGTATTTTTTGGACTTTTTTAAGAAATGTTAAGTCTAAAAAAAGCTATTATCATTAGAGTAATAAAAAAAATACTCTGATACGCAACTATAATAGGTAAAATTAATAAAGTTTAATTTTTAGTTTAATGAAATTTTGTTTATTTGTCAAGAAATTTAATTTACATTTTTTTATCATATTTAATGAAATTTATTTATTCATTCGTTGTTTGCTTCTTCAGAATATTCATGGTCTTGTCCTTCGGAATAATCATAGTTTTCTGCTTGGGAAAAGTCATAACCTTCTCCTTCTGGCTCAATCAATTCAATTTCTTCCTCATTTTCTGTTTGTTGCTCAGGTGTTTCACCTTCTTCTTGGACATTTTTTCTCATTAACCTTTTATTTATTACATCCATATATTTTTTTATTATTACTGGATCAGAACTGTAGAGTCTTCTATGTATAACATCCGTAAAACTGTGTATTCTTGAAGTTTTTCTGGCACGTAGTTCTCTATCTTGTCTGAGATATTTGTTTTGTGACTCCCCGGCTTCTTCACTCATTCTTCCTAGAGGTAATGGTAAGGCTTCCATGTAGTGTTTTGCATGAGCAAGTGCTCTGTGAAGTGTTACTGGTATTTTGAACCAACTATATGTTGTCAAAAACATTCTGTATGTTTCTTTACAGTACCTATCAAATTCATCTAGATCATCAACTGGTTCTAAACTTCGAATTTGGTTTAGCACATAGCATATACGTTTAATTATTTCTTCATTAAGATATAGAGTTTTAGCTAGAAGCTCTGGATTTTCAAGAACTTTTCTTGCAACGTTTCCTGTATCTGATGATCCAGCTCCCCCTTGTCTTGGTTCGAGTACACGAACATTAAATGCATCCCACATTGCTTGCTTTATTCTAGCCTTTTCAACATCTAAAACAATCTGTTCCTCTTCAGTTATCTCCAGCCAGTGTTTTTGAACATATTGTTTATATGACAAATCATATAGAGTCGTGAGTACGTTCATTGATGTATGAAGTGGCTGAGTGTTGAAATACAAGTGTTCTTTAACAAATTTTCTGTGTGTTTTTTCGAATCTTCCATTATCAAGATTATTTATGTCACTCATCTCGTTTGGTCCAGATCTACAAAGCTGACATCTGCAATATCCTGATGTTTCTGTAAGGTCTGTGTAAACTTTTCCATCTAACATTGTGGGGTAGAATTTGTACGTAATTTCCAAAAGCATGTCTTCACATATGAATCTCTGTGGTAACGTTTTGTCGCGAAGAATTTCACAGAGTGTTTTCTTCGTAAGTGTTGAATTTTGGTTCATTTTTGAAAGTGACTTGTTCAATGAAGTTCAAAACTGATATGATGTGTAGAGAGAATTTCACGAGTATATATATAAAATAGTTTCAAAACTGAGATTTTCACACCTGATAGTGACTACCAAGGGTACTTTACAAAGTTGTTAACTAGGGAAGTAAAAAGTTTCTAAATTTAATTTTTTGGCTTTATAATCTCATAAATGTCATAAATAAACATAAAAAAGTTCTAAAAAAATACTCGAGATTGCTTAAAAGTGGTATTTTTGAAAATGCAATTTTTGGGAATATTTCAAAAACTGCGTATGTCACAATCAACAGCCCTATAAATAACCAGGACTAAGTTAACTAGCAAGTATTATATATCGTTGGATAGGTATTACATTAGGCTACAATAATCCGAAAACAGAATTAAAAAATATTTTTTCAAAAAAAAGTTATAGTGGTTTAAGTAGGGTGACAAATGGCCAAATCGATGGAGAGCACATACCCCCTATATCTCGAAAGATTTTGAAGTTTTTGAAAAATTTTCTTCACAAAATCATTTAAATTGTTATTTTTCATAAGAAAACACCAAAAAACTATTTTTAAAACTATGTTTTCGTATTTTTAAAAGAATTATTAGTTTTTGGCCAAATACTCAACGACCTACTAAAATCAACATAACTCAATTACGTTAGCTTACTTTTTCAAAGTTTATACAGTTTTGAAAACTAGATATATGGGGCTACAAAACTGCGTTTTTACTTGCCTGGAAACTCTTCATTTATGATAGTTGCGACTTGTTTGAAGATAATTTTCCTGAAATTTTCACATATGTTCTACCATAATGGCACGAAAACATTCAGAACCTAAACTTTGTTATATGTCAAAATAAAGCTCTTATATACTACTAATAGGAACTGAAAACCGTTTTGCAATATCTTAAACCAGTTAAGATATTTCCCGGTTCAAACATGGTATGAAAAAACCAGAATTTTCACTAGTTTTCAACTTCAAACAGCTCTAGAATCGCGAAATCAGCACCAAATGACCTGAAATTTGGCATTTCTATCTACTTTTATGTCCTCTACAAGAAAAAATCACCCAAAAAGTGTAAATCGGAAAAGTCCATTTTTCAAAGTGAAAGTCCCTTTTTTTTTCATTTTGCCCCATAGTGTGATGATAACTTGTTTGACTTCTAAATATAGCATTAAATAAATTTTTATGATAAAACTTTGTTTTTGAGCGCGTTTTGCAGAACTTTTTTTTTTTTGTTTTAAAGTTCATTTATTTATATCAAACTTAAAGTTGTGTTATAAATTTATACAAACTAATTATTGCAGAGAGAGAGAAGAAAAAAAAATAATTTTAATTTATGATTTAGATGCTCTGATGTGGAGGTAGTTTTTAAAAACCTATCAATTTCAAGTAACACATTCGCTCTGGTGTTAAAACTCGTTTTGAATATCTAGCCGGCTTCTTTGGCTACTCGATCTTAGTAGATCCTAGAAGGATGCCTCTATTAGTATGTTATGGGAATAGTCTAGAAGTAGTCTGGGGTAAAGTACATAGTTTGGCTAAAATTATTACTAAGGTCTATTGTTTTTCTTGGAAACCTTAGCCTGTGCCAATTGTGGACTTTTATATTTGTACTAGGCTATCCGAAGGCGCCCGTGGCGCTTCTTATCAGGGTTAAAATTTGATTACTATTATGTAAATAACTGTAAGACGCAAATAACCATAATGTTTTTAAGGTCAATTTTGCCCCCCCCCCCCCCCCCCCAAGATGTATTCAGGAATATTTTCATGAACGAAGGTGAACTGAGACATACATTTTACTCTCAATACAAATCCAAGTAAGACATAATGCATTAAGACCTGAAATGTAATAATTCTCAACTCATTTTTAGCATAAACCATAACTCTCTTTAGCAATGCACTATTTATTCTCTCACTCTCAATTCATATAAATGCATAAAAGTATTCTCTCATGACACACAAGCATGCTTTTGATCCAATTGCTCCTTTTATGATGCTTTTTTACCCTCATACACCAAATGATTATTATTCAATTCAGCTCGATTTTCACATTAATGAAGAAGAATATGAAGCAAGAATATGAAGAATATGATTTTGATCCTCACATACATAAGATCCACAAATTGAATAGAAAAACAACAACTCAAATAATTAGTCACAATTTTATTGAAGCACATAAAAAAATGTTTTGGAGCTATTTAAAGCAATGTGCACGTTTAATTGAAAGTGAAAAGTTTTCTTATTTTTCTTCGCTTTAATTACGCGAAAAATAGGAGCTAAAGAAATATAAAACTTTTTAAAGCTCTCATATATAACAGGGTTATAAATGCCGAGACAGCAAGATACAATGCACTCATAAATTATGAAATAGCGACGATAACTTATTAAATTGCATCCTAAAACTTTTTTCTTTCCTGTAATGCCTTACAGAGATTTTAATTTAATAATCATATATTATAATTAATATTAAACAAGCAACAACTGAGCTGCATTTCGTGGTGGTGTGGCTTACTATAAGGGAGAAAAAAGTTTATGGTTTGGTTTGTTGCAAAAAATTATTTCTTTAGCTGAATCTATGTAAAATGAAGGCTGAAAATTTTAAAAGTTGTCATTCCAGTTGAATAAAGATGCAGTTTAATAGATTTTTTAATGCTTCCATTATGCAGTTCAATGTTGCTAACTTAGATGACTAAATCAGTCTAGGCATAAAATAGATTAATATTTGCTAATCCATATCCATATAAAATTATTAAATCCAAAAATAGCAAATTAGCACTTTTACATATTCATCTCCATTATTCTCAAACAAACTAGATTAACCATCTTTAAAACATTAAATAAGAATAATATGATCCAATGTTAGCAAAGAGAACAGAGTCCGTTACAAACAAGAAAAATTCAAAATTTTCGCGCAGTATTTTTTTAAAATTTCAAAATAAGAAAGTCCGTTACTTTTTATTTTTTTTAAACTAGCTGTTTTTTTAAGCATAAACATTTAAGGAATGCAATTTCATTACAATGATTATCTTAATCATAAAAACTAGTAGGAATGTTCACTAAAATTACAAATTACTCGAAAAATAATAATTTACAACGACTTTTTTTAAAAATAAGAACTTCGAAGATTCGATTTTCGAAAAATAAGAAACTCAAAAATTTGAAGTTCGAATAATAAGAACTCAAAAATTTCTGTTTGCTAGCATTGGAATATGATGATCTCAACCAGAAACCAGGAAGATGCATAAAATAACCTAAATTGAATAAGATTCACAAAGCTTTAGAATCAACAAAGGTGGGAGCAGCAAAAAAATATTTTATTATTTTAAATTTTTAATTTTGTATTCTCGAACCGCGATTAAGCTTTGAAAAATTTTATATTATTAAAAACTGACTTCCTTCATTATCGTGATCGTGGTTGCATAATCTGGTTTTCAAAATGTAAAAACTGGGAGCTATTATATAGAACCTTTTCATCCATCATTCAAAAAACTTTCTTTTCATTTTATTAAATGGAATTAAAAATGCATGAACTTTTCATTATTTTTCTTATTCATTCTGAAAATTTATGGAATAAAATTAATGTGCTTTTAAGTGAATAAAAAGATTATTTTAGTGGAAAATGAAAGAAAAATCAATTTTAATTAGGATTTTAAAATTTAACAAGATGGTAAATTTCCTTATTCAGCATTCACTTTATTCAGATTTGAGAAATTGAAGTTTGCAAAATTAAATTATTTTTTGGTTCTTTTCATTTTAATTTTTTTCAAATTAAATGTTTGGATTTGACGTCCACACTATTCTATTTGAATTCTTGTTACGAATATTCAAAACTCCATAATCCTCAAGCGTCAAATAATTATGATCGCGACTGTACACGGAAGCTGTATTGGAGTGCCATTGAGCGATCGAATCCATATAAAGAGCTAGATTTCCATCATGCTGCATAAAAAGTAATTTTGAAGAAGTTCCTTCTGTTCTTGTTGACCAAACTTTGTTCTTTAAATCTTTTTTATCATACAGTACAAGATCGCCTGACTTTTCAAGTCTCAGGAAGTATCTGTTGTTATCAGACACCAGCATTTCTTCATTTTGCAACATTCCACCGGGACCAAGAATGCTCCTTGCAGATACAATTGATATTGTGAAGAAAAAGCACAAAAATAAGATTTTAAAGTTGCACATTTTTTTATTTTTATATGTTGTAACTTGAGATTTCAAAAGTATACTGAATGTAGAACAAGTTGTTAGTGATTCAAATATATTACAAGTTTTATCCATAAAAATGAATAATTTTCAGCAATACAATGATTTCAATTAATTTAAATTTATTGTTCTTTATTAGAAATTTCATTTGTATTACAATTTGTATCTTTAAACATCCGGATGCTATTTGAAATTATTATGATGTCATGTAATGGACTTCCTCTCCTTGAAAAGTTAAATTTTTCAATCCAGCATTACAGACACTCAAAAATTAATGAGCAATTTGTGATCACTAGCTATGGTTTTTTTAAATAAAAATTTAAATGTTCCTATTTTATTTTGTCTTAGTTTAAAACATATTTTGGAACAGTCCATCAGTTTTAAATATTTCATGATTAATAAGCAAACGTTTAGTTTGATTTTGAAGACGCATTTTCGATTCAGTTCCTTCCGTTCCACTAGACCAAACTTTCTTTTTCATGTCTTTTTTATCAAACACAACCAGATCACCAGATTTTTCGAGCCTCATAAAAAATCGGTTATTATCGGACACTAACATTTCTTCATTGCCTATGCGAGCACCAGATTCAAGAATGCTTCTTGCGGAAATTGTTACTGCTGATAAGAAAAAAAATAAAATTGTAAATTTTAAGTTCATTATAGCGAGATTTAAGCAAGATTTAAGTCTAAATAATGACTGAAATATGAACGAATTGTCTGCTGATTTATAAGAGATTTTTTTAATTTTCAACAAAAATTCTTATCAATAATTAAAGAGCATATTATTGTTTTGTAAGAGATAATAGACGAGTTATGCGCAACGAGCTAATCGTTAATATTTAAATGAGAGTTTATTTATGTAGGTTTTTAATATTTTTGAGATGATTTGTTTTGAATTTTTTTTTATAATACATTCTGTAATCAATTAGTTCATTTGCGTATTCAAATTTGCGATTTCAAAATATATAAAGCTACAATGTATGTGAAGCTAATTTGATAAGTTTTTAGCACTTCATTACTTGGTTTAAACGTAATAAAAAAAAATTTAAGGAAAACTTAATAAAATATCATTTGTGATAAAAGTCTAAGATGACCTTAACATTGTTTAAAGTTTAAACCAAATCAATCAAAGTATCAATATAGGGACACGATAAATTCCTAACAGAGCACATTTTAGAAACTTTGTAAGAATTTCAAATTGATTGAACTTGATTTACACAATATTCACTAAAATTGAACTGAATAAATCCTTTGATCCGAATGTTTCAGGTACATAAAATTATGACCAAATCAAATTGTTGATTTTAGTGCCAAGACATTTTTTCACTCATACGTAGGAAACTGAAAATTCTTCATCCAAAAAATTTGATTAATATAGATTTTATTTGTGAATAAGCCGCTAGTTCAATTCAAAATTATGAAAATGAAAATTATTTAAATGCAAAAAATTTCATTTTAATTAAATCAAGAAATAAAACGTAAACAAAAATTTTTGTCGAGAAATAGTCAAAAGAAAAAACGAGAAAATCTAAAAATAATTTACCGGCATCGTTAAAAATAGATAGAAAACTTAAAAAACATAGCAAAGAGAATAGCATTCAGTTTTTCACGAGAAGTGGAAAAAGTTGGAACTAATTTGCAAGTGAATTTGAATTTTAAATAAAAATAAAGGTCCAGGAATTGTGAAATGTCTGTAGATAAAACTACAAACGACGCAAAGCATTTCGGTGATGTCACTAGCATGTGCTATTACAATGAACATCTGTTCAGTGCTGGAAGTGACGCAAAAATTAAAGTATAAAAATTTCTAGAAAATAGTGGAAAACTAGTGTATCGGGTAGAAACCCAATGCGGATATATTCACACCGTACCGTCAAAAGTCTTATGGATAGACCAAGATTTGTTTAGCATAAGTTTGAAGGTATAAAGCTAACGCGTCAGCTGAGCTTCGCTCAGCATATGTTTGAAGGTTTAAAGCTTAACGAACATTCTTTGAAAGATTTTTAAAAAAATTTTTTCATCCAAAGTTTAATTTTATAAAAATCACAGTTAACTTTTTTATTTGAAAAATTCGTAAGAAAGGAAAGTTTTTTGCTTTTTCTGAAGCAACGGCTGTTCCTACCTTGCCTAAAAACAATACAGCTCTTCTAAAAAGCAGCACGGATCAAATGTATAAAACTAGAAGTCTCTACGAAGTCTCGTTATTGAGATTTCTTGCTTGCTTGCTTGTTTGCTTACAGAAAGCGTATTTTGCGATTTTCTCAGCAATGCCGCAACCAATTTGAAATCTGTTTTTTGCAAAAGATGTGAAATTCTAGGCACAAACTTTTTATCTCTGAACATTTTAAGCTTTCTTGCTCCATATCCTCACAAAATTCAAAAAACTGATTTTTCAATCTGAACAAAACCAATAGATTCACACGTGAATAGGTGTGAATATAAAAATAATTTTCAATTCTTTAACATTTATGCGTAGATTTGGAATAAAGATTTAACCTTTGTGAATGAGATTAATATTCATGAAGCTCACATTTACTGTATTATCACTGATAAAACTGGAAGACTATATTCATCGAGGTATCTTTTTTGTGTAAAAAGTTTTCCTTTTTTAAACTATTTTCATTTTCAATTTATTTTTAGTTGCGATGGCACAATCAAGTCGATTGAACAACCACTTACATCAAGTAGATTCACAGTAGTTTTGCAACATGAAAATGAGATTGAAGCACTCTTTGCTGATGATGATTTGACTTTTTATTGTGGTATGAGAAAGTTATTAATTTTCCAGATTATTCTTAAGGAACATTTCTGAAATTATATTTCGAACAAAAGATGCATTAAGAAAAATCTGGAAATAAGAAATTGACAATCTCAAGTCTATTGTTTATGACCCAAAAAAATTATGAATCTTTCCTAAGATTTCTCAAGATGGATCTTTTAAGATCCTCGATATCACAAATAGATAATTATGAGCCAAGTCATTCACACACGCAAATAATCCCAAAAATCATAAGCACTTCCTGACATAAATTTTCAAACTTGATATTAATTAATACAACACAAAAGGATTTCTTGAAATATCAACGGTTTGGAACTTTTACGACGTTTAAAGATAAGCTTATTAAATGGTTTAAATCTATGTATAATTTCCATTATGTGAAGGAATCTTCTAGACCGTGTAATATAAATATTTAAGTCTTTTGAAATCAAGGCGTGGAAACTATCCCAAAAATCTCATTTATCCCATATATCCAGGGGGGGGGGGGGTACAGAGCAAAAATTGCTATAGTACAATGGAGTACTTGGAAATTTCATCAGAGTAAACATTTTTGGGTTTATTTTTTAATAACAATTTTTGCTCTGCCCCCCCCCCACCCCTGCATATATCCCAAAAATATTCAAAATAATCCCTGAGCCTGTATGCATTAGAATTGAGTTATCCCATCATATCCTGAAATTACACTTCCAACGCAGTAAGGATACGTTAAGATATCTTTATTATCGTGCATACATTTTCAGGAATTTTTTGAATATTTTTGGGATCGTTTCCACGCCATGTTTGAAATCGATTTAGTTTGTATCGTAGCTTTAAACTACCAGCTTACCATAATGCAAGATATATAGATGGGCTCATACAGAGTATACTTGACCATACTCGACCATACTATTTTTTGTGTACTTATACAAACAAAAATTTTTAAAATTTTCTATTTTCAAGTTTTCATTTAAATATCGACAGATGCAACAACATTTGTCTTAAGTCAGTTTCTTTAAATTATAGCAAAGCATTTGCAATACTCCTGTATCAACAAAACTTAACAGAAAGTTGAAAATTTTGCAAAACAAAAATTGAAAATTTTCTTTTATAGTGTTAGTGTTTTTAGAAAATTCAAATTTTTGACGTTTAAAAACTGCGATATTTTTGTATGAGCACATCTATATATCCATAAAAACCCTAGCAAAATGAAGAAATTTTTTTTAATATAATTGGATTTATCACCCAAATCCCCCCTTCCCTTGCTACGCCTGGATGACACTGAGTTAAGCACTGAAATTAAATATTTCAATTATAAAAGCCTCTAATTCTTTTTGATGCTGGGTTATAAGTCCAGAGATTATAATTCCAGGTACAAAAATCGTGCACAGAAAATTATAAGTCCAGAAAATAAAAGTGAGTAAAGGTTTTTTAAGTCCAGATACAAATTGTACCTGGGCTTAAAAACCTCACGTGCAGTTCATAAGTCCAGGTACAAATACAGCTGGAATTATAAACTGCACGAGAGGTATTTAAGTCCAGGTACATTTTATATCCTATAACCTTACGTGTGGTTTATAATTCCAGAAATTTTTAAATATTACTAATAATAACCCAGTGCGATTTTAAGTCCAGATACATTTTTCTGGACTTATATTCTTTGAAAATTATTTGAAACTTATTTAACTTATTTTAAATTTTTTTCTTTAAGGCAATTCTACACATGAATTTTTGAAAACTTCACACAAAGAATTCACATTTGATAATTTTTTTCCTCTAAAGTACCTTATATATCCTTTTAAGCTGCTGTATTTCATTATACCCCTTGATAATAACTTATTAAGATTTTTCATGCCTTAATCAAGGATAAATTTCAATTCTTTGGAATTAAAAATTAAAAGTCAACTAGTGTATCGGGTAGAAACCCAATGCGGATTATATTCACACCGTACCATCAAAAGTCTTATGGATAGACCAAGATTTGCCCAGCATAAGTACGAAGCTATGATATGCCAAGAGACGATGTCAACGTTGATGCGAAATAAGTTTAAACTTGTTTCGAATGTTTTTCGAACAAAATTTCGCAATTTCGAAAATCATATTTTTAATGAAAATTTTAACTTTTCGCAATTTTTGACTTAATTCACTTATTACTTAGGAATTGAACCTTTCTACTATGTTTTTTAACACTCATTTAATCGTTTAATCGATGATAAATGCAGGAAACATTAGTTTAATATGATTTTTTTCAAAAATATTCAAAAAATTTTGTTGTTGTTTACATTGAAAATTAAAAAGTCATTATTTCACTTGCATTAATTGTTTAGCAAATCAGTAATGATTCATTACAGTTGAGTGGATTCTTTTAGCATTTTGATGATGAAAAACAAATATGTAAACCATTAATTAAAGAGATTAGACATTAATAATTTAACGTGAAAAAAAAATTTGAACTCATGCTCGAAAATAAGGTACCAAAAAAAAATCAATATCGAAAATAAGGACTCGTTGGCGTACCATGGTACGAAGGTATGAAGCTTGATAAGTCAGCTAATCTTCGCTCAGCATAAGTTTGAAGGTATAAAAATAGCGAGTCAGCTGAGCTTGACTCAGCATAAGTTTGAAGTTATAAAGCTAGCGAGTCAGCTGAGCTTCGCTAAGCATATGTTTGAAGGTTCAAAGCTTAACGAACATTCTTTAAAAGTTTTTTTAAAAAAATTTTTCATCCAAAGTTTAATTTTATAAAAATCACAGTTAACTTTTTTATTTGAAAAATTCGTAAGAAAGGAAAGTTTTTTGCTTTTTCTGAAGCAACGGCTGTTCCTACCTTGCCCAAAAACAATACAGCTCTTCTATAGAGCAGTACGGTTCAAATGCAAAAAACTAGAAGTCTCTAAGATGTCTCGTTATTGAGATTTCTTGCTGATTTACTTGCTTGTTTGCTTACAGAAAGCGTATTTTGCGATTTTCTCAGCAATGCCTCAATCAATTTGAAATCTGATTTTTCAATCTTAACAAAACCAATAGATTCACACGTGAATACTTACATTTTTAACGAATCAAATTCTCAAATTATATGGATAAAAAAATTCACAAAAAATAAAGAAAAGTAAAAATGAAATGTTCATTACGAGTATACAGAAATATAAGATTCGTCCTGCTCCTGATCTATCTTATTCCTTTTTCATATAAAGTAAAAAAAGGAGCGTTGATCGAAACCCAACTGGTGCTTGAGTAAAATTGAGAATGTATGAAGTCGAAAAAACTTCAGTCATCTTGGATTTTCTGATTGATTTCTTTTAAATCGCTAGTTCAAAATGCTTCTAAAAGTGCTAAAAACATCAGCTGCTGCATTTAGGATTCAGTAAATATTTAGTGATAAAGATTTTTTATGATGTTCAACTTTAAGGCACTAGGTTCAATAACAGAGACTTAATAAAGAAAAAAAAAATTTGAATAAGTTTCAAAGATTATAAGTCTAAGTAAGTATAAAATGTACCTGGACTGAAAAACCTCTCGTGCAGTTTATAATTCCAGCTGTATTTGTATCTGGACTTATAAACTGCACGTGAGGTTTTTAAGTAACCTTGCAATTTGCATCTGGACTTATAAACCTTTAGTCACTTTGATTTTCTGGACTTATAATTTCTGGACTTAAAGTTTCTGGACTTATAACCTAGCGCCATTCTTTTTAGGTGACGACAAAGGAGGAATAACAATTTTCAAAGATGGCAAATTTCAATTCATGATGAATATTGTAGAGCATGTGAAAGGTCTTTTTGTTGAAAAAGGCTTCGTGTATACACTAGCTTTAATGGACTTAAGGTATGAAAATTGCATGAAGTTAATTTTTTTTTTCATTATTAAAAAATATTTATAATTACAGCATTCACGAGATTCGAAGTCAAAAATACATCATGAAGGGTAGCGTGCCAGGGAAATTTCCAGTAACATTATTCGGTGAGAAAATTGATGGACGATCGAAATACATCGCCATAGCAACACGCGATGGCTTAGGAATAGCAATAATTTGCAACAAAACCTTTAAAATTATCGAAACTAAAGAGCATGCTCATGACATGATTATAAATTATATGAAAGGATTTGGTGACATTCTATTTTCATGCGATTATGCTGGAAAAGTTGTTAAATACGAAATGATGGACGGAAAATTAATAGAAATAGCTTCAGTAAGCACAGGTTCCGGATGTGCAAATTGTATTGAAGTTGTTGATGATAAAATAGTGTACGTTGGAAGTAACGATGGAACTGTCAAAAGAATTAATTTTAATTAAAAATGTAAAAGCTGATGAGATAAAGTTTTTATAATGCTAAGTTTAAATGCCTTCAAGTTATTTCCTCCTTACCTTCTTTCATCATTGTACCCAACTAATCTCTTTCCATTCTCTATAAAATATTCATGATGATAGTGACGACGAAAGTTACGAAAAGCTCGTATTTGAATGAAAAAGTAAAAAAAAATTACATCAAAATTTTGATTGAAAAACTTCAAAAATTTTACAGAACTTAGAAATAAATTTATTTAAGGAGTAGTAAGTTTTATTTAATAAATTTTATGTAAAATTTATAAATGCCCTGTGAATTTTTTCTGAAACTCATGCCATATTTTCAGGTGATCATGATGAACTTTTACTATTAGATCATGTCCAATGTCCATGTAAAATTCATCTGATGATGTGTATTTGGGCCATTTAATGTCGACAATGTCATCTAGATTTGGTGTTGGATTTCTGGAATTGAAAAAAAAAATAAGGATTGATTTGAAAACGTCGCTAAATTCCAAAAAGCTATTTATATTTAAAAATCTCACAAAACTCACCCAAACTTTATAAAGTTCGCCCACATCCTGATCATTCTCTTCTTAACTTCTGATGCATGATTCCATGGCCATGCTAATACTGGAAAACCTGGTTGAAACAGATAAAATAAGTCATCACCATGGCATGCACCTTCATAGCCCTTGACAAATAAAAACAATTTCACCATGTTATAAGCTCCATCATAAGAAAATTCATAATTGTAGATCGTTGTGTTTGGATTCTGTGAAAATATTTTTAAAGCTCGATCTGTAGTGAATTTAAACATGGAATCAGTGTTGTACACAGCAAATTGATCTTTCATATTATTCGTTAGCTTTTGACCTTGAAAATATTTATCTCTCATGGCATTTGCTACTTCAACTATTTGTGCAACATTGCTTGAATTCAAATTATATGATAAAGGAACAAAATAGTCAGGATGAGTATTGAAATCTTGCAAGACTGTATGGTCAATAAATGTTTTTGGTAGACTTATGAGACCTTCTTTGTTCGTAGTTCCAATCATCATAGGAACTGATCGAAAATTTCCTCTAAGCATTACAGCTTCTGGATTGTCTATAATCAGTCTTTCGTCCACTGAATCTTCAGGTTCGATTGTAATTACAAAGTCATATGGGCGGTTTCCTAAAGGATAGTCTTGATCCTCAATTTCACGAGTGTGTTTAAGAATATCTTTAAAATTTACAGCACGAAGCTTTTCCATCAAGTCTTCAGTCGAATTATATTTTAGTCCTAAACTTTTCGCAAGTGCTTCAGTCTTCTTCATTGGATTTGATTGAAATGAGAAAGGTAGGAAGACATTACCGCTCATCATTATTGATTGATGAAAAAGTCCTTCAGATTGTGGCGACAGCATTAGATGATGAGTCATAACACCACCAGCAGATTCTCCAGCTAATGTAATTTTTGTGTCATCTCCTCCGAAATTTCGAATATTTTTCTTGACCCATTTGAGTGCTAAAAGAGCATCCTTCAATCCATAATTTCCTTGAGCATTTTTATCACCAGTACTCAAAAATCCAAAAGCTGCCAGTCGATAATTTAAAGTCACTATAACAATATCTTCTTTAATGAGATCATCTGGTCCATAAAGAAACGAGCCTCCATCACCCAAAACAAAAGCTCCACCGTAAAGCCACACCATGACTGGGCTGGAAGCATTCACATTATTTGTGTAAACATTTAGAAATAAGCAGTCTTCATCTCCACCAGATAAAAGTCCCATTAGTCCATTTGAAGGACATTTGCTGCCAAATTCAGCTGCATTTCGAATGCCTTCCCTAAAAAATGAAAGAACCTTAATTAATTATAAAATTTGAGTTACACCATTGTATTTATTGCTGGCATCCTTGATCTTAAACTAATTCAAAAGGTCCAACAAATCAGCCTAGGATTTTAGCTTTAAAGCCGTCTCAATATGAAGGAATACTAATTAAGTAAATGAAAATCAATACATATTATATTAACAACGTAAAAGTTGGTAGAAACAATCAATAAAGTGAAGTCATGTACTGACCAAGGCAATGAAAAGTGAAAACTTACATCGAGTGATGCAGTCACACCACCACTATGTACGTAATTTGTTGTCGCATGAGAATCAAGTGTGTGTGATTGCAAAGGAGTGTTTTTAAACGATTTCTGTGATTTTTGCAACATGTGATGAACAGAGTTGTCATTTTATAATGTTTAGGGAAAAGCTTAGTCTAGCAAGTTAACATTTAAATCTTAATTAATACTTAACATTGGTTTTAAAAAAAATGTCACTGAATGTTAAAAGTTTATAGATCTCTTAGATATATTAAAATTGAACTCACCATCCTTTATGTGGAACAGGTGCTCGAAATCTTAAATTTCCTTTAGGTGGTTCTGCGTACGGAATTCCTTTGAACGCAAAATATGATGTTGTAAAACCTGAATGGATTCGAAATCCTTGTAGTATGCCGGAAGAAGTTTGTACAATCACATCAGTCTAAGATTTGAATGCAAATAAATTAGTAAGAATTAAGTTCACTAGGGGCTGTTCACTTATTACGTAACGCGAAAAAATGACTTCTTAGACCCCCCCCCCCTCGTAACAAAATTTGTATGAAAAATAATTTCCTTGTTTGAATCGTAACAAAATCTTAGACCCCCCCTCCCCCTAAAAGCGTTACGTAATAAGTGAATGGCCCCCTAGTTTTCTAAGTATTTACATAAACCGATGAAATCAATAGCAAAATTATTGAAATCTTCAACAACATCTTCGTCTGTCTTTTCCAAGAAACTTCTAGCTTGATACTGACAATATTTACATTCAATTCCTTTAAAGTTACAATTTATTGCAAAACATTCATATAAGTCGCTCACACTCTCTTTGTTTATTGATTTGTTTCCGTCTATGAGTAAGAATTTGCGTTATCTGTGAGCAAAAAAAAAATGAAAATAAAAGTTTGAGAATTTTACGTCACGTTTGATAATCCGCATAACAAAGAACACTTTGAGGTGGCAAATTGATTACTAATAAAATGACAAAAGGGCTTTGCAGATGGTTTAATTTATTCAAAATCTTACTTTATTGCGTTTAATTGTACGATTGCAGCAATACATACCCGATCGGCATACATTGAAGTCCGATCGGGACAAGAATTCTAAATCGTAAAATTTCCAAATATTTTGATAAATCAGTGTAAAATATTTACTTTATAAATTTATACAAATCCCAATGAAAATGTTTGATAAGAATTTTTTATAACGTCTCTAATATATTTTCGCATTATTCAATAATTTCAATCAATATATTTTAAAATTTTAAAACACTTACTCAATTAAAATGTATGTTAGGAAAACAAAATTGATTGTAAGAACAACTATTCAAACTTCAAAGTTGCTGTGCTTATTTCTTATTGGAACAGTTGAATTTTGACAACTTTAATTTATTTAAAGAATATTTTCTATTTCTTACTATAATTTTTTTTCAAGTCTGCTATTCTTTTAACCTCGTATTTCGTGTGCAACACGCCTTATCCAAATAAATTATTGCAAATTTATTAGTCAAATTTAAAATTTAAACAAATATTGATTGACTTATTTGTATCCACATAAAAGAAACAGCTGAAAATTATAAACAATCACAAGTGTTTAATTGAAAGTTTAACAAATGACTAAAAAAATACTTTTCTATGATTATAAAAAAATAATTACACACACTATGAGAATTATCGCGTTATACGAATGAAATTACGAAAAAGATTATTTTTTTGATAAGATAAGGAAAGTTGTATTGTTATTGTGATCAACAGATTGAAAACATTTTAAAATGTTATCAGTTTAGCGCACTTTTATGGACATGGGATTTTTCACTTATTCCTGCTTTCAATCGTTTCTAGTTCTAAAATTGCACTTTCTGATTTAATATTACTAATAGCTTTTTCACTTATTACGATAACAATTTTAACCCCCCCCCCCCCCCCACCTCATCTTTATAAATATTGTATGAAAAACTTTTTCCTTTGTTTGAGCTGTTAAAAAATCCTAGACCCGATCCTTCTTTAAAATGATTCAGCTTTGATTTTTGATTTTAGGAGGGGAGGGGGGGGGGGGGGGGAGGGGTTAATCCAAAGTATAACGTAAACTGACACAAGTACTGTAACATATCTCATAAGGTAATTTAAAGTAGATGGAAAGAGTGTTTGAGGTTAAATGTTTTAGGAAAAATTAAATTAGAATCTTCCAATTTATTAATAACTTTCTAGGAAAAATTAAACCTTTATTAATACTCCAAACTATACGTCATTCTTGTCTATTACAAACAAGTAAACCCCAACAATATCTCTATGCACAATATACTCCATGTGTCGATGTCTGAAAATCTTTGATTTGTATCACATAAAAGCATATAGCAGATTTATATAGCTTCATTGATATCAAAAACAGGATAGTCTAGATAGAATCAATGTTCATATCATGAAATATTTAAAACCAAAAATTATGATTGACTCAAAGTTTGCTAAAAGAAATTTTCACTACACATAATTGTATGCGTAAACTGTGTACATATCCTTCACCTAAAGCGAGAATCGAGGATGGAATTATGGAAATTATTAGAGATGCAAAAATCCTTACCTTACATTATTTCGAGATAAATGTAAACCTTTTTGAATGAGAGGTTGGAGGTTAATTACTTCATATATGCTTTCATATTGATACAATTGAATCCTTTCTATGCTACCTTTTCAAAAAAGATCAATTGAAAATTGAGGGCAATCGTTTGAGATTGTAATGGAATTTTTATTTCATTCGCATTTTATGGTTTAGCATCAATGAAGTTCTTTAGAATATTTGAAATGTGTGTTGTGGAAAATTTTGGCAGAAGCTGTACATTTATCCAGTTCTTTATGAGATGATGTTGTGAATATTGAAGAATTGCAATTGAATGAGCTGAACAAAACAAGTTTAAATGGGAATAGTGAATCTTCGATTCATTTACCCCAATGTTAGCAAAGAGAACAGAGTCCGTTACAAACAAAAAAAATTCAAAATTTTCGCGCGGTATTTTTTTAAAATTTTAAAATAAGAAAGTCCGTTACTTTTTATTTTTCTTAAAACTAGCTGTTTTTTAAAGCATAAACATTTAAGGAATGCAATTTCATCACAGTGATAATCTTAATCATAAAAACTAGTAGGAATGTTCACTAAAATTACAAATCACTCGAAAAATAATAATTCACAACGAATTTTTTTAAAAATAAGAACTTCGAAGATTCGATTTTCGAAAAATAAGAACCTCAAAAATTCGAAGTTCGAATAATAAGAACTCAAAAATTTCTGTTTGCTAGCATTGGCATTTACCTATGGTTACGTAAGGAATAAGACTAATTATTAATTTGAGATAATCTGGAGGGCTTAAAAACAGGAGTTAAGTCAGAATTTTTTCTGAAACATTTTGTGTCTAAAGGGGAATTCGAGAATATAATCCAAAAATGGGCTATTAAAAACTCATTTTACACAAAAGAAATGAATAGCCAGAATCCAAGAATGTCATTATTATTGAAATATGAAAAAAAATCCCTATTTTCATCCCATCCACTTTCACTTTCCGTGGTTATTGAAAATCTGGAGCCAGTTTTTTGGGCTACCCGAAATACCCATTAATGGACTTCGCGCCTCTAATCAAGCAACGTAAATTTTTAATTCATGTTATCAAAGCTCTTACACCAAAAATACTGCAGCTACTCGCCTCAAGATGTCGCCACTTCCACTTTCGTTATACATTCATTTCGTTAAGTATAAAAGCATCTGGAAATCAAAACACTTTCCTTAGTTCCACTCTCAATTTCCAATAATTTTTCATTCTTCTTCCTTCTTGCATTTCCACAGCATTTTTATCTCCATTTTCATCTCGTTGCCTACATAAAAGTCACAATGTGAACTCTAATATGCCACTCAAGGTCATTTCTGTTAAACGTGGAATTGAATAACACAGAAAAAGTCGTCACTTTTCATCACTATTTGCCATTGAGATTGTCATTATCTTAAACAAGAGATTAATCGGCAAAAATTAAAAAAACTTTTTCAATTGATATTCAAGTGGACAACGAATATGATTTTAATTATGCTTGCCGTGTAATAGACATTAAAAAAATTTTAATCTCTTTCCGAAATGAGCAAAAAATGAGCTTGTCATTTCAGAAATCGAATTTATCTTGGTTGGCACAGTGGAACCCTTATCTCCAAATGATAAATAACATAATCATACTATGAGAATTATGTTGTAAGAGACGATAAACAGGATACCGAGATGGAAGGAAATGAGCAATAAAAACCACAAATGCCTCCTTTTTCTTATCCTCATGCTGTAACAGAATTTTTGACATAGTTTTTTGTATTGTGTGAAATGAATAGGTCTAAGTGTTTATTGTGTCAGGTTGAAATTTCCTTTTTTTTGCTCAGTAGATTTGACTATAGGACATTGTCATGCAAAGATTTATGATTATTTGGTTTGAAAAGTGGTGTTTTGGTTTGTTCTTTATTTCTTGTCGTTGTTAAATGAACACATGTTAGATATATCGAATTTTTGAGTTTAAAAAAGAAAACATTCAACTTTGCCGTAATTTTTGGAAAAATACAAAAAAGTTTTAACAGTTTTTTGTGTAATTTTACAAGGATATACTAGCATCTGGATGACTTCCTTACGGCATCTTGCGCACATGAATTGTGACTAGGTACATTGCAGGGTACATCAGGTCTTATAACGTCCTCGTGTCTTTGCAATGTGCAGAGCTTGCAAGTGGTTCGGATCCCACTATAAACTGTAGGTCTAAAGGGTGTGGTACAATAGATTCTATTCTAATTTGAATCGCAGTGCCTCCAGCTGAAAGGCTGGGCCCTTCATACATTATATTATTATTGTGTAATTTTAAAATTCAACGGTTTTCGTTTAAACGCTTTTTAAAATAATTCAAAATTTTAACTTTTGTTGAATTTAAAAAATTTCCGATTTTTTGTAGAATTCAAAATCCTAATCTATTAAAACTGAGCAATATGCCAGATCCAATTAGCCCACAAATTTCAAAACTCATATCTTTTGTATCTTTTTTGACTTATATTCTTGGATATTGACATGAAAAATCTTTCTTAAATGACTGTTGTGTTTATGTGCTAATAAAAAAAACTTTTTGTGTATATTTCTCCCCTTTTTTAAGCACAAAATGTTTTGTGTTGGCTTATAATGAAATAAAATAAAACTACATGAAAAAGCTTTTTCAACAAAGCCTTTCTTAGTTCGGAAGAAGAGAGAATAAAAATTGCTACAATTTATTTCTTCATTCTCACTTCGGTCGTTTATATTTTTGACGATGTTGAATATTTTCCCACAAATGACGAGAAAGGATATGAGAAGTTATTTATCCACAAGTTGAGGATTTTCAAAAAGTTCTAAAGGTAACTTAGTTTCAAAATCCAACAGTTTTGTCGAATGCTTTCAAAAAAGGATTCTGATTTTAGGTGCTTGAAGTTGAAGGAAAACGCTTATTAACATGGCTTCTTCAACTCTTCAACTTTATCGACAGCTCAAGTTTAAAGAACTAATCGAAAAGGAAGCAAAGATCAGAAACTAAATGACTCTATAATTTTTCAAAATGTCAATTCCATTTTTTTTAAAATTAATCTTTAGGCGAAATTCTTGAGAACTAATTGATGTCTGTAAAACTATTACAACAGACTCGAATAAACATAAGAGAGTTTTTAAAATGGAACACGATTTTATTGAACATTGGCATTGCTGAAAAATTGGCAGTTAACAGTTTTCATGACGATGAATATGTAGCAGCTCTTTTCTCATTTGATGAAACCAAGACAAATTGTCAAAGTCGATAAAGGAGTTAAAAAGATCAATTTGATGATACTTGAAATCAAGAAAATCTGCAAGAAACGAAAGGAAACAAGAATTTACTATTGTGAACTAATTACTGACGCTGATTACTGAAAGATAAAAATTGATTTTCAATTCCAACTTTCATATTTGCCAGAATTGACAAAGAATATGTCTTCCTTAAAATTGAATCATCAAATATCCTGTAACTCTATGTTCAATTGTTTTACAGCCCTTTATGTTACAGATAAACAGCATTTGAGAACTATTGATTAAAAATTAATCATATTCTGAAGACTGTGTGTTGATGATGCTTATTCAGAACAATTCAAAAGCCAAATTCAATTTGTGACAGTGCTGTTCCTTAAAAAAAAATAGAATTCAATTTTCGAATATGAAAAGTTCATAAAATTTTCTTCTTGAAAACAAAACGCAGCAAACTGTGAAAAAAAATTTCACTTTGAATTTTGAAAAATTAAATTCATCACAAAAATAGATTGATGTGGCTGAAGTCTGGATTTTCAGAACTTTATGGAACAGAAGACAATTAACAGATGCAGAAGAAAAACACTAGATCAAATTGTTGGATCAACAGATGTTGAATAATCGTAGAATGCTCCCAATTATGGTGTATGACTTGGACATCGACAAATATTTACTAATTTGGATGTAGGTCAAGGAAATTTATCCCTAGGCAGATTGCAAACAAATCAACTCAAAAAGGAAACCACCGCATTAATCTAGTTCTTACCAAGCTTCAACAATGGAGAAAAAAAAG